TCAGAAAAAAAAAGACACGAACATCCCACCCAAAATTTAGGCTCTTGATACCATATCAAAAATATGGCTGAATGACTTGCCTGTCATGTTTTTAGTTTCCATTCAATATATAGATCAATATACAAACAATAAGACTGATATTTAGGTTAAATTAAAGGGATATGCTTATTTCTAGGTAGGCTAATTCCTAAACTGATATGTAAGGATTACAACTAATCAATCTAGCATTTACACCTATTTAAAGTATATAAAAACAATCTATACACATAAATGATAATTATATACAATAACAGAAGTATGTCAGAATTCTTAAGTCTTTTGTCTGAAACTTGGTTTGAAGAAATTTCCTTAGGTTTTCTTTACTGCTACATGTAATAACAATATCATCAACATAAACAACAATTAAAATACAACTACGGTTAGTTTGTAAAACATTATATGATCACTCTCACTCCTCACTAATTCAAATTCCAGAATCACATCACTGAATCTCCCAAACCATGCTCTAGGTGATTGTTTCAAGCCATATAATGACTTCTTTAAATGACACACTCTTCCACACTCCCCCTAAGCAATAAAGCCAGGTGGTTGCTCGATGTACACCTCCTCCTGTACGTGTCCATGTAAAAATGCATTCTTGACATTTAACTAGAATAATGGCCAATGATACATAGCTGCAAGAGAGATGAAGATGCGAACAGATGAGAGTTTAGCAACTGAAGAAAACGTATCAGTGTAATCAATGCCATAAGTTTGGGAATAACCTTTTGCAACAAGTCGTGTCTTTAAACTAGCCACAGAACCATCCGGATTAACTTTCATAGTGTAAACCCACTTGAAACCCACAGAACCAAATCCTATCATTCGTCTTAAGAGCCAACATTTCTTCTTCCAAGCATGTCTCCAACCATCATGATTGAGAGCATCTGCAAGGGTCTTATGCACAAAAAGAGAGTCTACTCCAGCCATGAAGGATTTAGATGTAGAGGATAAATGAACAAACATCACATAAGATGAAATAGGATAGGTGCAAGATCTTTTCCCTTTACGGATAGCAATAGGAAGGTTAAGGTTAGACATAGGATTTATTGACACTTGAGGAGATAATGGTAGAGGTTGAGTATCATTAGCCACAGGGAGCGTATCATCTGAAGGCTGTTTTGGCAGGCGAGAGTATGTCTGCTCAAAGAACTTAAAACCTTTATCAATAGGAGTTAGAGGTGCAATAAGATGTGTAGATTGGACAAGAGTATAAGTCAAAGAAAGTTTATCTACTCATACATGGACTTACAAGATGAGGACTTAAAGAATGAAAGACTTTTAAAGAAAGACACATCAGAGGAAATAAGATAACAGCTAAGATCAAGAGAAAAATAATGGTAACTTTTTTGTGACTGAGAATAACCCAGAAACACACATTTTATGGACTTTGGATCAAGTCTAGTTACTTGAGAACGAACATTAAGCACAAAACAAGTGTAGCAAAAAACTTTAGGAAGTAAAGAAAAAAGAGATTGTGATGAGAAAAGTATAGAGTAGGGAATTTCACCATGTAACACAGATGATGATATGCGATTAATTAAACATGGTGCAGTAAGAACGACATCAGCCCAAAAAGGTTTAGAAACTTGCATTTCAAACATTAAAGCACAGGTTACCTCCATAAGATGACGATTTTTACGTTCAGCTACTCTATTTTATTGTGGGGTAACAATATAAGAGGACTGATGAAGTATGTCATGTTTATTTATAAAATTAGTAAAGGATGCAGAAAAATATTCTTTAGCATTATCACTTATAAGAATGCGCGTGCAAGTATTAAATTGAGTTTTAATTTTAGCACAAAAATTACAAAATATAAAAAAGACTTCATATTTGAATTTCATAAAAAATAGCCATGTTACACGAAAATAATCATCCACAAAGGTAATAAAATATTTAAAATCAGATTTAGAAGTAACTGAACAAGGGCTCTAAACATCAGAATGAACAATTTCAAAAGAGGCATGAGCCCTTTTATTTAAACGAAGTAAATAAACATTATGATGATGTTTAGCAAACTGACATGACTCAATAAAAATTAGACTCTATATTAGGACATAATTTCTTAAGAACTCCTAAAGATGGATGACCCAGATGGTAATAAAGTTGGAAAGGAAACACTTTTTCATTCCTAGAAGCAATAGAAGCTTGAGGAAGTTCTTCTTCTTCTAATAGATATAGCCTATTAGATACCTTACCTCTACTAATAATCCTCTGTGCCATTAGATTCTAAAAAACACAAGAATCAGAAAAAAAAAATGTTACTGAGCAATTTAATGGTGAAGTGATTTGGCTAATGGACAACAAATTTAAGGAGGATTGAGACAAATATAAAACAGATGATAAGGGTAAGGTTGAAACTGGAGTGGTACACCCGCTGCCCTTAATATGGACACTAGAACCATCAGTGAGTGTTACAGAAGAATGAGAATTGGGTAGATAAAAAGAGGAAAGGATACCTGAATTCTCAGTCATATGATCAGTAGCGCCAGAATCAATGACCCAACCCTTGGAAGAAGAGAAAAGACATGCAGTAGGATTACCTTTTTAGACAAAAGCGGCTGTAGAGGATGTAAATGACTGTTGAAAAGTCTGAAACTGAGTATACTGAATAAATTCCTCATTACTCATATGCATAGTACGTCCTTCTTTCTCCTAAGTAGCTGTATGGCTAAGACACCGAGTTAACAAAGCGGGAATTACCTTGTGAGTGAAAAAATGACTGATTCTGTGGAGGATGAGTGCATTGATTCCAATAATGGTCAAATTCGCCACAATTGTAGCATTGTACAATATCATGACCTCTACTATGCCCACAACCATGATTACCTTTACCACCACTGCGACCACCACGGTGATTGTATTGGGCTGCCAAGGTAGAGTGGTCAGGAGATTCATTTTCTGTAGTGCTCTTGAGTTCCTCAAAGGAAGAATGCATAACTTTAGAGAAGACATTAAAGATTATCAATCTGCTTACTTGATAGAATTTGAGACCAAACTACCTCATGACTGATTTTGTGGAGGATGAGTGCATTGATTCCAATAATGGTCAAATTCGCCACAATTGTAGCATTGTACAATATCATGACCTCTACTATGCCCACAGCCATGATTACCTTTACCACCACTGCAACCACCACGGTGATTGTATTGGGCTGCCAAGGCAGAGTGGTCAGGAGATTCATTTTCTGTAGTACTCTTGAGTTTCTCAAAGGGAGAATGCATAACTTTAGAGAAGACATTGAAGATTATCAATTTGCTTACTTGATAGAATTTGAGACCAAACTACCTCATATTCTAGAATAAGTTTGAAGAGCCAACTCAAAGCCATGAGTTTCTTTTGTTGTGCTATCATCTCGTCAATGGTTTTGCAGGCTAAAAGATATTGTATCTCCTTAGTATGCTTCTTAAACTCCAAAAAATGATCTATTAGCTTTCGCTTATTTTCTTTGGGTCAATAAATTTCTTGCAAGAGAGCATACAACCGATTCAAATTATCAGATTTCCCAAAAATAAATTACAAGAAGTCCCAAAACTCTTTCAAGGTTTTGCAATGAGTAATAATTGCTTGTATTTGCCTATCAACAGAGTTTACTAGTAACGCAAGGATCTTTTTGTCGCGTATTGTCCATGTGTCAACATCCTTAGGATTGACAAGTGCCGTTTCAGTCAAATGATTATCCTTTCCCATTCCACCCAAGCTAATATCAACTAAATACTTTCACTCCATATAGTTCATACTGTCTCTATCCAGCTTAACATCGGTAAGTTTGGATAGAGATACAATCTCCGTAGCAGCCCCTTGTGCTGTGCATCCTGCACATCTTGGCTATCACGTTCAGACATTGTATATCCACAAACCATGATGGAAATGCCTGGGTTTTGTTTCAATGGCTAGAAAGAAATGCCGCACTCAAACTGTAAACGTCAAATTATTGCATATTCTGGTTATTAGAAAAATTTTTCATCCCCACAGTAGTTATGGTCAACCTTTTTGAAGCTGGTGTTTTTTTTTTATTTTGGCAGTGGCGGCGGCAGTAGTGGTGACAAAGGAGGAACCCTAGAAGACTCTTGATACCATGTAGAATTAAGAGAGAGAGCATAGAGAGAGACAAATTAGTGTGCTGGAGTTGAATGCTTTACAATGTGTAGAAACCCTTATATTTATAAGGATACATATGTAACGCTACAAGGACAAGTCCATTATTATAATACTAACATAAACTCTAATCCTAATACGTCTATTATAGCTATTCATAACATGTTCCAATCGCTTCTCTGGTTCTTCTTAATGGGATTTGATATGTTGTTCATTCTGGCAATATGGAAGAAAAAGTTTGAAAGAATTAAGAGAAGGAAAGGATCAAAGGTATCCTGAAACAAAGAAATTTAGAATTTAGATAGTAAAATGGGCTATTCATATTAAGTTTGGGGTTGCTGGGATGGACTGCTTATGTCAACCGATGAAATCGCCAAACTAGAATCTAACCTTGTGTTGATGATCATGGCTTTCAACCTTCTATCTTTTCAGTTATTTAACTTTAACTATGTAACCACTATGCTGCTATTTTTAAACAGTGATATTGTAGTTTTGGAGGTAATAATTTCTTTCAAAGTCATCAATGTAGTGTGTAGTTCAGATGATGTTGTTAGCCTTCATATCAGGAAGGTTCTTTGGGTGCCACTACTCTTTAATAAGTTGGTCTACAAAAGTTGGATAGTAAACAAATAATCAATAATTGTGGACAATGCTTGCAAGATAATAAATCATTTTTAGTTGTCTTTTACTGGCCTTTATTTTTCATTCATTTTATAAGTTGTAATGGCTCATTCTTTTGGTCCATATAAATCTGTTAAATTTAAATTTTGACAAGTCCTTCATTAGTTTGACCATCCACCATGGCAAGTTTCATATTAATTTTAGTTCTAAGTGGTAACATTTGGTTCAATGACATTAGGTCAAAGGAATGGCTTATAATAAGGGAATTGTTCTTAACCAGCGTGAGGAGAGAGAAAATGCAGGTATGCAGTAGGATATGTGTACAGATATCCTTTCTTTTGTTTGTTATGCTTTCCATTAACGACGTTTATTATGTACACAAAGCTTGGGTATGATGTTTTTGTCTAGTTTTGCCATTAACCCAAGCAACTTTTTTCCCTATCATATTGTTTCTTTCTTTACATACCTTGTAACCTTTTTTGCCGTTCTCTTTTTTCTTCTTTACTTGTCAATGTTTTGCCTTGGCCGTGGTAGGACAGATGAATTAAGAATGGCTGTGAAAGAAGCTGTATGTGAAAATGAAGGTGACCGCAATTTATATGAAGAGGCTCTCATTGCCATCACAGTTGATGAGCCTCTAAAACGGTATGGTTTGAAAACATTAACAGAAAATGAAAATTTGAAGTACAGTGTTACTTTATATTTAATGTCATGATTAAATGTAATATTTTCAGTTACTGCCAACGAATTGGGCGATCTGATTTCTGGGGAGGAGAATCAGAGCTACTGGTTAGTGCTTCCTTTATGTTTACCTCCTAAATCCCGCAAGCTTTACTTTCTTACCTCTTTTATCTTTTAAGGATAATTCATTCAAAAATTTGGTTTTATACCAGGTTTAATTTTTAGTTTTCTTAATGGGTCTTCTAATTTTTCATTTTAATTTCAATGTCATTTACTTGTCTTTCTTTGCCACTTTAATTAACAAGTTTACGTAGATGTCAGGCTTTGTTAGGTTCTGTTCTTCTAGAGATTCCATAATAATATGGATAATTTATACTTCCCACTATAGCAACAACTATTCAAAATATAATAGTTGAATGACTTCAAATTTCTGTGGAAGTTAATGAACCCAGTGAAAATTCAGATGTTGAAGTGCATTATATAGTTTTGGCATTAATGATTTAAAGAATTAGGCTTACTAGATTAATCAATTAGTTTTACCTCAAATGTGCTTGCAGCTGGAGCTTGCGGTTTAATTAGGAACTGGCACCTTTAAAAATTTTATATTGTCAGGGGTTGGAGAAATATGACTCATAATCTAGCAATTAAATGATTTAAATTTTTTATCATATTTAATATTTAAACCATTTAGAAAATTGATATTTTGCTACTTATTTAGCTGGAGCTTCCAAAAAAAAAAACTCCCATTGGGATCTTTAAGCACAATTTCATCATCACTTCTTCGGTTGAGTTGGTCATACTTTTTCCTTGGCTGAGTCCTGTTTTTCAAGGTGGATGCACAAATCCCTTCATGAAAATTCAGATACTGACCAATGACCATACTCTGGTAGGTACTGTCAAAGTTATGTAAGCAGCCAATCATTGTGTACATACCTGAGCATGAGGTATGCCTTAAACAATTCTTATTAGGTTGACATTTATCTATTTTACCCAGGAAGGAAGAACTTGCATATAGTGTGTGCTCATCCTTCTGAGTTTAGTCATAACTGTACTTGTTCCAAGGCAGGTTACTTTTCTTATGAAATAGTCCATGTATGAATATCATATCTATGGATAGATTAAATTGCTTATAACTTCGTTGTTGCTAAAATTCATTATTTGGGATCAATTGGTTGTAAATGTATTCTTGGAAATAAAATGGACAGAGAGGTGACTTGGATGTTTAATGCATTTGTAATGATAAGCTGTCTTGTGTCCAGTTTAAAGAATGGTTCTTATACTATTCTATTATCACCAAGTGTAACTTACGAAGGATTTGATGCAATAGTTGTTAATATCAGGTTGTAAAAGTTTTATCATTAGAAAGGGCTACTTTGCTATAAAGCTCTTGCTATGCACATTTAGTGCTAAATGTGGTAACGTGTGAAGTACCAGGAGTAAAATATTTTATCATTATAGCAAGTAGTTAGCTGCTTAATGATAAATATGATATTTTTATGAAGTCCATTTCTGTGCATTAATAGTTATTAACAGGGAATGCTCAGTTTATTTGAAGATGATAGCTATTGGCTGGGCTCTTCTACTATAGGATATATGAAACAGAGACAGGGATATGCAAATGTGATTTAGATAACATTGGTGGACATAAATTGTTTTACCTTTGGAATGTAGGCAGATTTTAGGTTTCCTAAGGCAGCATTTGACTTTGAATAGAAAGAATTCAAGATTTAGTGAGTGGAAGGTCTGAGACTAAAACATAAAAGGATGGCCGAGTTTTAAGAAGACATGATAGCTGAACACGAGGCAGCAGCAAGATTAAAGTGTTTATAGATCTCCAGGTTTTGTGAAGAAAAAGCAGCTGAGTTGTTATTATAAAACAAAAGGAAATCGTCTTTAGGGTTGGTATATATGCATGTGATCAACCCTGTTAGCACATGCATAAACAACTAGAGTAAATTGTAGGCAAAAGAAGGTATATGAGGAAACTTATAAGGCTTTGGACCCTCAAATTGTCTTTTATGCTATCATATAATTTCATGAATTCAGGGATCCATTGACTTTTATGTACACAACTAGAGTAAATTGTAAAAAAAAAAGGTTTACTAATAATACTATCAGACATGGATCCCTGAATTCATGAGATTATATGATAGCCTTTGAGCAGAGTAAGGAGCATTTTAAAAATCTTTATGCTGGACCATGATTAAAGCTCAATTTACCCATATGTATCTTAGGAAGCATTCCTACCCTTGCCTTATGCTTCCAAAAGAGGCTAAATTCATATAACTAGTCCAATACTTCTAATCTGAGGCATTATCCTCTGTGAAGATGCTTGGAAATTATAAGGGCTTGATCCTTCTATGTCGATTTTGAATAACTCATTTGAATCATTTAATCGTGTACTTGTTTTTATTGTGTTTATGATTTCAATCAACTCACAGAATTTGCTAAATAGCGTATCCTTAAATCTATATGTTATAAGGTTGTATAATTTATCCACTAAAATATCCTGTTGTCTCTTCGTAAACTAAATGCAGCATCGAGGTGGTGGTTTGGGATCTGGTTTCATTCCCATTGCGGAGTATGGAAGTGAATTTAAAAAGGGTTCTAGCAGAAAAGCTGTGAGGCTATTGTACAGCGGTAGGAACCATTATGATCTTCTGCTATGAAGAGGAGGAACTGTATGAAGCAGAAGGAAAAAAATGAGTGGAAGATTCAAATGCCCGTTTTGTAATGTTGATTTTAAACGAAGTATGCCAAAAATGATTTTGAGATGAGACATATAATAGAAAAAAAATGAATTGTTGCCGCAAAACAAATAAAAATAAAAATGAATTGTGCTTTTTTTTGTCATTCTTTTCCCGGTTGACAACTGCTACACGGGCACTTATTTTTTTAAGTAATTTTTTATTTGAATCTCTTCTACTTATCGTCAATTTCCACAGATGGCAGGGCATCCCTTATTTTCTCCAATGTCAAGTTTAACTATTTGCAGTCACCCCTGTGCATTGGTGTTTCTGGTTAAACAGTTTTTCAAAGAAACTATTATTGACCAAAGTAGACGTTTTATTTTTATGAAAGATTATAATGAACATTTTTGCTTTCAAGTTTACGGGGTACTGTTGTAAATACTTTTATTAACCCGATACATAAAGAAAAAAAAAACATAAAGATTTAATTTAAAAAATTGACACTTAAAATTTGCAAAAATATTTAAAGCGTTTGTTTGAAAAACTAAAAAGAAATACAGGAAATCACTGAAGTCCACAAGGATTTTATTGGTAGTGTGCTTTCAAACATGCAGAACTTCACTTTTGTTAATATTTTATTCTGCCTAAAATGGATAATTTTCAAATTTCATTTTGATTCTTTGAGGTTGTTCGGATAATACAATTGAAATGATTTCTATAAAACTTGGACCCGTCATCTCAACTGAGGTGGTAAATTTTTGGACAAACTGCTGAGGAAGCAGATTGTAGAGACACGTTTTGTTCCATTAAAAAAATATATTAAAAGTATTAAAAAAGACACATTTAGTCAAAAGTAATAATATGTTTTTTAAATAATATATAAAAGTCTCTGGTACTCTTTACTCTCAAAACTTTTCCATTTGGTTTCCTACCCTTCTCTTTGTTCAATGAACAATGGAGCTATTTGATAATATATTTTTAATTTTATTTTTTAAAACATTTTTTGAAAGTAATTTTTAAGAAGAGTTTTGTAGATAAAGCAAATGAAAAACTTGTCTGATTACTCTTAAGTTTTGAAAACAAATTTAGGTAGAAACAGCAAATGTTTGACTATACTAACGACAAAAAAGGAACTTCGAGTCACAGAGAAACTTTCACTAAGAAAAACTGCACCATTTATTTGGCCATTCTTGGCATCTTTTAAAATATCCTAATAGTGATGCTTTCAAGATGGTACTACCATGTATATTTGGCAAGGGAAAATGTTTTGTGCATTATTAAAACTGGAAGCTTAAAAGTATACATATATAGCAGGATATACTTATATTTGTGTAACTCCAAAAATTCTTACACTCGATCTGAACTTTTTATTTAATTTACATCTAACGATTAGTGAAGTAATAAATTATAACATGTTAAATGCAAGTTAAATGAAAAATTTAAATCAAATGTAAGTTTTTAGATTTACACTAGTGTGAGAAAATCTTTTATATATATATATATATATATATATTGTATATCTTTTAGATACATATATATATAAAAAGAAAAAAAAAGTGAGAGATAGGAAAAATGTTAAATGTAATTTTACTTTTAGCTTACAATAATAAACATTACTAAACTTATAAGGATTTTGAATTTCATGATTTTTACACAACAAAAGTATAAAGGAAACTTACTTAAATTCATGCAACGAGTCTCTTAGCACCAGCAGTGAGATTTCTTGATTTTTTTCTCCTCTTCCTTTTGTTATGATGTTTCTCTAACGGTGAAGAAAGTGTATAAATGTGTTCTGGTTTATCTACTTTTATTTTTCATGGTAACTAACTTTTTAACTTCTGAAAAGAGAGAGGGGAGGGATTTTAAATTTTAAAGTAAACCCTTACTAACAACAGTAGTATACATACATTTATAGTATATATTACTTAAAAAACTTATTATTGCTATTGAGAGAAAACTTCTAAGCTCTCTTGAGAAAAAAAGTGTGGACCCAAGGATTAGTAAATAATCAAGAAGAACAAGAGACAGAGAAGAAAATGCTAAAATTAAAATTTTGTTACAAAATTGACACCATGAGATAAGAAAAAAATCTCCATAACATCTTTTACATGTTTTGGCATAATGATTTTGAAAAACATGTTTTCAAAGCTATAAAGTAAAACAATTGGTATCAAATAAGTTTTTTTTTATTTTCTTTTTTTTTCAAAAATTTAAAAATATTTTTTAAAATATTATTCAAAGAGGCCAAATACTTCTTCTAAACTTTTTTTTTTCGTTCTTTTAGTGAATTATATATATATATATATATTCTTACCTTTAGTGTAACTTTAAATATTCTAACACTAACTTTTCATTTAATTTATATTTATCACTTCATTTTAATTTTCTTGTTCTCTAGTTTTACTTTCTTTTGCCTGTGCATCTTTGCTTGTTACATAGTACTTGTTACGCACTGACAAAGGAGCCAAAAAGCTTTACTGAAGACCACCTTCACGACTACAACAGAGAATAGATGTCAATGGCAGACAAGAACCTTCATGGCTTCACCTTCACCCATTCTTTGACCCGAAGCAATGACATATTGTAGCTATTCTGTTTTTCCATGATTGCCTTGTTTTTCTTTTATTATTATTAATTCAATATAAAAAGATGGTAGTTAGATGTGGGATTTTCTAAGCACTTTTCTGTATCCTCCTAATAATCTTCCTCTTACCTTGTAAAGTAAGTATTAAATGAAAATATTTATTTATTATTTATATTAAAAACATAAAACACATCAAATATTTTTTTCATTTAATAATTAGGAAGATTTGTAAGAATAAAGAGTAGGACAATTTAAAATTATTATTTTAATTAATTTCCATAAGCCTCTTAGTTAACTAAAAACTAACGAGTCAACGTTTTTTTTTATTCGGAAAATTGGCCAAAGTTTACTAGTCTCTGTATACGGGTTTATCGTGTCCCCATTTATTAAGAATGCATCTAATTTTTTAATGGGGCCAATCGGCACAAAAGGTATGTTTTTATAAGTAAAAATGTGTAGAGATGCAATTTAAATGATCTTGCAAGTAAAAATGTGTTTGTTTGATTAGAAATTTGTTGAGCTTAGATTTTCTTGAGTATTAAGAGGTTTAAATGTGTAGTAATTTAGTGCTGATGATTTAAATTTAAATTGTAATTACTATTGCTTGCTCAAATTTGTAAATCTTTTATCGTAAAATAATTTATTCGAAAATTTCATTATATTGCGTTAAATAATTATGACTAAGATAGATTTTAAAATAATTCATAGTTTGGATTTGAAAATATAGAGTGAAATGAGAATTAACAAGTGTATTAACATGATTAAAAAGTAATATAAGAAAGTTAATTTTACGGAAAAAATTCAAATAATAAAAAAATTCACATTAAATTATAACTTTTATTTTATGTAATTAAATAAAAAAACAATCTGATAATGGTTAATTGCTTTAGAAATAAGTTGACAAAATTAATACTTTACTCTTCTAACTTTATTTTTTATTTTAATTTGGTTCTCTATTTTTTCATTTAATCTTTTATTTTTTTCTTTAGTTTTAATTTGAACTTATTTGTTAATTGTGGAACTCTTTCATTAATATAATTGATAAATTAGACCAAATCAAAATCAAATAAATAAATAAAAGTCCAAAACAAAATAAAAAAAGTATTTTTTTGAAATAAATTGCATACATTCATACAAATTTTACATATAATATAAAATATTTATATTTTAAATTTGATACTTTGGCTAAAATCTTATCCAATTAGTATAACTCTCTGAAATTTCAATCTAAAGGTTAATTTATAATTATAGTTAGGAGAACATGATGTCAAAAATATATAAAAATATATAAATAAGGCTTTATTTAAAAAAATATATTTATATATTTTTTAATTTGATTTCTAATTTTTTTATTTTTTATAATATAATATATACGAGATGAGTTGTTAACATTATATCTTTATATTTAAAAATTAAATTTTAAGTTATAAAATTATAATTTTTAAAATTAAAATTTAAAAACATAAAATAGATAAAGTAAGTTGAACATACTACATAAGTAAGTAATTTTCTTTAAATATTAGCTAAAATTTATTTAAAAATATTAAAATTATATAAATCTTACTCTTAATTTAATATTTTTAATTAATAATTATTAAAAAGAATATATTAAACAATATATATTCATAACATTTCTTATAAATTAGTAACAGAAAAATCATGTTAGAACACTTTTTTTGAGAAACTTATTTAAAATAATTTAAAATAACAAATCAAATAAAAAATAAATAAATTTAAATCTTAAAGATGGATTTAACAGTTAATAATAATATTTTTATTAAAAAATAAAATGTTTATATTTTTATATTTTATTTATAATAAAAATTTGTTATATTTAGGTGTTTAATCCTAATTTGAGGTTAACAAAATTAATAAAACTACAATTTTTTAAAATAAAAACATATTTAAGAAAAAAAAAGAGACTAAAATTGAAATTTTCGGTCTACGAGGACTACGAAATTGGGCCTTCGAATCTAAAACCTAATCTTAATCGCCCTTTTCGGGAGAGAGCAACGTTCCCGAATATGACACGTGGCAGAGGGACAGGAGGACACTTACGACACCGTATCATTATTACATCCAACGAAACACTGCAACAACAATGAAGACAACACCCAACATTTTTACTTTATTTTCGTCATCATTTCATTTTTTCATTTATTTATCCGTTGCGCTACGAGCCCGATTCTTTCCCCTTCTCACTTTCTATCTTCCCTCACACACAACCCAAACGAGCAAGAATATAAGAAACGTAAATTGCAATTAGGGTTTATAGTTCATTGTTCTTGTTCTTGTTCTTGTTCTTGTTCGTGGATTGAAATTGCGAGTTATATGATGATGGAAGGAGCGAGCAATGGAGGGATGCTGTACCACGAGGTACAAGAGTCGAAGCTATGCGCGGTGCATTGCGTGAACACGGTGTTGCAGGGTCCTTTCTTCTCCGAGTTCGATTTGGCCGCTCTTGCCTCCGATCTCGATTGCAAGGAGCGTCAGGTGATGCTACCTGCACTCTCCTCTGGTGATTTCGAGTCCCACAATGTCTCGCTCGACGGCGATTTCAGCATCCAGGTTCCAATTAGGGCTTTTCTTTCCCCAATTTCTCTTTCTTCTTTTGTGCCACCAGTTATATATTTATATCCATGAGAATGTGCTCCTGTTGCTTGGATATTTTGGATTTCAATTGAATAGAAACTGTTCCTGAAGCTTTTTTCTTTTATTTGTTTTCTTTTTATTATTTAAGAATATTTGTTTTGATGCTCTTGTGGTGCTAGTACTTCAATACAAAGTTATCTGACACTGGCCTTTGTGTGAAAATGTTTGGATTTGGGTGGAGTTGACTTGCAATAGTGCAATGCCATATGTATATAAATGATTGTTATGTTCTTTATATTTTGGAATAGAAGAATGGAGCTTTGTGAATAGTTGCATATATAGGGATATCTTAAGCATAGAATGACCTTGTGATGTGTGTTGCAACTCGCAAGTGTGGTTTGGCTGATTCAATTTGTGCTATGTACTTATCTTACGAGCTGGTTGTCTATTTGAGGAAGTTCTTTGCATTTTGTTAGAGAATGTAATCAGTTAGTTGGTTAGTTCTTCTAATCATTCTATTGGTTACATATACTCAGTTAGTTAGCTATTAGTTTTAGTTTTGTTACTGTTACTATTAAAAAAAAAAACACTAAAACTTATAGTTAACTAACTATAGTATATGTGACAAACTAGAATGGTTGGAAGAACTAACTGATTACATTCTGTAACTCATTTACAAGTGTGAATGGGCGTGGAGGGCAGGACATAATGTATGTTTTGAACTTTCAATTGTTTGATTGAACAAATCTCCTTACTTTAATAATTACTGTTTGCACATTGTGGGAACTGGGAGAGCCCACTACATTCTCCCAAATTCAGATTCATGATCCATCAGTGCTCAAGCACCCCTTACACACACAGAGATGCACACACCCCTGTGATAACATAAGACAATGCATGTCTCTGGAGCAAATTGAATGAGAAATAGGATGTACTGAAGTTTTTCTCATGGAATTGTAATCCCATTTGGGTCCTGCTGTTGATGCATTTCAGACTGTCTGGCCACAGTTTCCTGTTTGGATGGCATCCCAGCTTACAAACAATTTGTTTTACTTGAACACCTTCGGCTCTAGTGTATCACTCTATAATTAGTATAGTAATTTTGTATGATTTTGACAAATTTTGTGCTGGTATCTTAATGCTGTTTTGCCTGTGCACTTTGTTTTGATAAAGACATTTAGGTTCTGTTTGTATGATGGGATTGGAATTATATTTCAGAATTTAAATTCCAATACCAATTCTATTGGGATTGTAATTCGTTTAGAATCATACATATTATGTTTAGTTTGTGCAAAATATTTGAGCGTAGATTACAATTCTAAATTCAATTTCAATTTTATTCAGGTATTGGAATGCTTATTGAACGAATGGGAAAGAATCTATACAATTTTAAGACAGAAAAAATAGGAATGATTCAATTTGAATAATATGGAGTTTATATGAATGAATAAGAATGAAATACTATAGAACAAGATGATACAAATAGTTTCAATAGTTATGATATTGTCAAAATTACAATTATTAAATGAATAGGAGTTTATGATTATAATTATACCCTCAATTTTTATACTTAATCAAATGTGAATGAAATTAAAATTGTTATAGAACTAGTAGGAATGATTAAAAATAGAGAGATCAAGGTGTGAGTTTTTTGTCAACAAAGATGAAGAAATGATTCATAACATAGGAAATTCATTAATTGTTAAAGCTTTTGAATGTCTTTGAAGGAATAGGAGAGACATGTATCTGTGGGGGGGGGGGGTTGAGCATGATTTTAATTCCTAGATCATAGGCAGTTTTCAGAGTGTTGGAGAAGAATTGAAAAGGACTTGGACTAGTTATTTTGCAATTCTATGGATTAGTTATATGGAATTATGATTCTAGTTCTAAAAACAATTACAAACATAGAAGTGAGAACCCCAATTCCACTTTAAAGCTGCAATTCTGTGCTCGATGCCAGTTGTCAAACAAGTTCATAGATGTCTTTGGAATTAACTTCTGTCAAGTAAGTTGAATAAGGGTGTATGCTAGATTGATTAAAACTGCAGAGCATGGTCTATATTTTTTATTATTTGGAATTTTGATAGTTGTAATGCAGTTGGATATCGGTTGTTTTGTAATATTTTACAATAAAGTATATGCATTGTTATTTTAGTAAGAAGCAAGATGATTATGCGTTGAAAGTTAAAATTGGAAATGATGTAATATTGCATGTTTCCAAGTTTAAGCATTACAAAATGATGAAGAAGTTAATGGAGATATTGTTGATTAAAGTGAAGAAAGACCTCATAAGTATTTGTGATCATAAAGTACTTATTAAGCTTAAAGAAAAATTTTATTGTACTATTTATGATCAACTTTCCTATATGGTAGTTAATGTTGCACTTTATAGGAATAACACGAAAAACAATAAAGTTGGAAGAATGAGAATATTAAGATGGATGAATGGTTACATGAGATACAATAACATAAAAAATTATTGTAAACAAGATAATATTGGAATAACACATGTTGAGAGAAAGATGACAGAAAATGGATTAAGATAGTTTGGACATGCATAAAAGGTCATTGGAGGCATTAGTGTGACATGATTTGTAGTCTAGCAAAAAGGAGTAAAGGGAAACCCAAAAGAATTTTAGAAGAAATTAATAAAAGAAATCTTGTGGTAAATGGCATCTTAGAAAATTTGATTTTTAACAGAGTTCAACTGTGTCGTGTGATCCATGTAATTATCCTTACCTAGTGAGATGAGATTGGATTGTCGTATTTTACAACATAATTCATTCTTGTAATTATAATTGGTTTAAGTTTGTTGTATTAGATGATGAAAATGTGTCAAACTAGTTAAACTTTCTTGAATCCTTGCCAATTTTGAAATTAAGGAAAGGGGTTACAGATATTTGTTGGAAATAATAGCTTTATATATATATATATAGTTTACTTGTAACATGTTTTAACATTTTATACTTACGGACATAGTTGTTAAGAGTGCGCTATAACGGCACTATGGCGCAGCGTGGTGCAGCTTTTGGCTGCCACTACCGCTACGTCGCGGGGTGTTTGTCACGTTGCGGTGATTGCGGGGGTTTGCGGCCGGAAAAGGGAGAAGTCCGTGTGTGCGATTGCACGAAATTGGGAAAGCAAGAAACCCTATTTTGATTTTTGCTAAAACGCAGTGTTTTTATTATTTTTATGGGTAGAAAGATCATTTATCCTTTATAAAACATATATATCGATTTTGTCTTCCCCACACTGCCTCTCTGCATGAAAAGTCAGGGCCTCAACATAGCGGTTTCTTCCCTTCTTCATCGGCTCACCCATTCCATTTCATGGGAGAAATTGGTTCTTCCAGCATGTCCTCTGTTTCTGTTAACCGGAAAAGTCAGCTTTTCCTGGCATCTCCTCTGTTTTTTAGTTCAATGATCATTCTTGCTTCAAGCACTAATTTTTTTGGTGAATGAAATAAAGCTCTATTTTTCTGCTGTTTTTTCTTATATGTATATATATATATATATATATATACATATTATAAACTTTTAAATAGGGATCACTATATGCTATTCCGCTATAGCATTTTAGGGGCTAGCAACAACTATGCTTACGAACTCATTTGATGGACATGATAGGATAATATGATGACCTCTTATTTTATTTTACATTGGATGAATATTAAAATAATAAACTAGATATATTATGTTATCCAATCTTCTGTGTTACTAACTCAGGCTCTCAACAGATATCTTTTTCTTAAAAGAATTATTACAATTCGTAATTATTTAATACTTGTACAATTAAAAACCTTAAACTATCATTCTGGTTATAATCAATTTTGGGCCCAAGTACGCTATTGAATTAATTGGACTTGTTAAATAAATTCAAATCATCTTGGCCATTACGTGGTTTGTCCTCATTCAAACATATCACCGTTCGACCCATACAATTTTTTTATTTTTAAAAAGGCAGAAGCATGCACTGTAGTGATTCTTTTCTTTTGGTTCGTGTAAGGCTTTCTGTGTTATTCAGTTTTGGGCCTCTATTGGTCTTTTGTTTAAGTTAGACGCTGGGCATGTTTGAAAATAAGTTGAGAATCATGTCAATCTGAATCTAACGCAAAAGTTACAATTAGTAGCATTGAAGTAAACATAGATTCATAGTTATTTAAATGTGAATCCAAACACATTATTTCTTTTTGGCTTTTGGATGACATGCTGTTTTTGAACCAAAAAAGAAAAAAAGAAAATGACAACTATGCCCTTTGTCTTCAAGCTTCTCCTTCTACACTGTAACTCTTTGTCTCTTCATCCAATGTCCGTTCAGTTCCAAGTTTCCAATCTGATGGACAGATTTTGAAACTTTCCTTCCAGCCTGAGTAAAAAATTTCCAAAAAGAAACCCTAAAATCATGTTTTCCAGGAGTGGGTCCCCGTGTGACCCAGGCTTGCAAGAATCAAACGATTCATTCCAGATTCACGCGTGGAATTCAGATGTGATTCAAGTGATTCTAAAAGCAGTTTGAAGTCAAAATCGACACACCTTGTGATTTGTATCAATGGCTTAAATTGGGATATGAATTGTACAAATTTTTGCGATACTAATAATCATGCTTTTATTTGTTACTGTAAAGATAGAATTTTTTACTGTAAGTTTACCTCATGAATAAATATTATTCTTGAAGTTTTTGCAAATAAATGATTCATTTAATGACTGATTTAAGCATGACAATATATGAAAGAATCCAAAATCTTTATTTTTCTTAGCTATTTTTGGGACAAGGCTAGGTAAAGTTATTTAGCTGCTTGTGGTGGTGTTCTCCAATAAAAATATGGCATAGATATTATTTTTTAAACCTCATCTATGAAAATATTAAAAGGAAGGATGAGTTAGCTGAAAAATAATACATGTTATGATTTTATCAGAAACCAGCACCAGAAAGCAATTAAAAGAAGTTTATCAAAGTTTTGTCTATTTTTTTGGGTCCAGATGATAACGGGATATGGTCCACTTTGGGATAGGTCATTAGATGCTAATAGTGGGGGGCCTCATGGGGAGGGAGAGGGGATGGGAAAGGGGTACTGTGGAGTAGATTGGGGATTTGAACCCTACACTCACGTTCTCCTTGTATGTCTTACTCAACCAAGTGATCTGTCTCAAATGTCATCTAACTTTTTATTTAATTTATCAGTTTACTAGATAAATAATGTAGCTATTTTTTTAAAGAACATCATAACATTTGATAATTTTTTAAAGTTCTATTGTTTTAGTTGGTTTATTACGTATGTGTTATTCAGTCTTTTAATTTCATTGATCTTTGCAACTCACATTCCAAGCTCTGCAACTGTTTTGTATATTTTCATCTATCACAACTATATTTTGGCATGTTGTTTGGCCTTTGGTACCTTGTATGAATTGGATTTGGGAAAAACATATTTGTTTAATAAAATGTTGCATATCAAATATTTATTTTGGGCAGACAATTTAAGATCTGGATCCTTTGCAATTTTATGTTTTACTTAATTGTTCAAAGGCTTTCCTGTAGGTTTTACAAAAGGCTCTGGAAGTGTGGGACCTACAAGTTATTCCCCTTGACTCTCCAGTTGCTGAGCCTGCCCAGATTGATCCTGAGCTGGAAAATGCTTTCATTTGTCATTTGCAAGACCATTGGTTTTGCATTCGTAAAGTGAATGGGGAGTGGTATAACTTTGACAGTCTCTATGCTGCCCCACAGCACCTTTCCAAGTTTTATCTCTCAGCTTATCTCGACTCTTTGAAAGGATTTGGGTGGAGCATTTTCTTGGTCAGAGGAAATTTTCCAAGAGAGTTCCCCATATCCTCATCTGAAGCTTCTAATGGTTTTGGGCAGTGGCTTTCACCTGAAGATGCTGAGAGAATAATTAAGTCTTGCAACTCAGTACAGGCTCCTCAACAGAGAATTAATGAGAGCCAACAACATTACGATCAGTTTCTTTCACATGGGGAAGCTGATATGTTTTCAAACATGGAAGATGAGGATCTAAGGGCTGCAATAGCAGCTAGTCTGATGGATTCGTGCCCAGCTGTTACCAATGCTGATGCCAGTACTCCTCAAAATGATGATCAATGTAGTAAACAAGTGGCAACCACTGAAGCTACCCCTCTAAATGATCAACACAACAAAAAAATGGAATCCATTGAAGCTAGTCTACCTCTCAACGATCAACGCAACAAACATGTGGCTGCTACTGAAGTTGGTTCTCCTCTTAATGATCAACACAACAAAATAGTGAAATCCATTGAAGCTAGTCTACCTCTCAACGATCAATGCAACAAACATGTGGCAGCTACTGAAGCTGTTTCTATTCTTAATGATAAAAACAGGCAAGAAGTGGCATCCACAGTAAGTGGGAACCCTCAAGATGAAAACCAGAATAAAGAAAAAACTGTCTGAAAGTGTGCACTCATTTGCTCCTGATTTGTTTTTGCAATTGAGGACAATAATCTTTACCAGTTTAGGTGGTGGAAACATACGTCAATGGCTTAAAATCATGGTGCTGTGCAGAATACACACTCAAATCGATTGCATTATGTAAACTGTAAGGAAAACCCTTCAGCATTTCCGTCCGATTATTATGGTTACCAAGTTTTGACAATGTTCTATAAAACCCTTTGGCACTTCTATCTGATTGTGATTGCTACCAAGTTTTGACGATGCTGCGTGCTAGAATACCACTAAAAAAAAGTTGTTTTGGCCGAAAATACCGTTGCGATGACAAGTCAATTTTATAGTTAAGGTATATGTTAATTACCGGATTATAAGATTTATTGTTTTTCAGATATTAGGTGAGAAGAAATACCTAATATTGTTTTTAATATATACTTTAATTTCCCCATCAAACTAAGGACCACAGGGAAAATCATCTCTTTTTACGTGGATCATATATACATGTATATTAGATTATTAAAGTTAACGATGATGATATAATAGCTTCATACAATTCGTGATATGAACAGCACAACGGAAATGAGAAAAAAAATATAACAACTCCTAATAAAGAAACTCAGGTTTTCTCTACCTAATATGAAAGCTAGATACCGAACAATCCCACCTCACCTATAGCACATACAATAGGCAATAACAGAAAAGATCTTCCCACCCCCCCCCCCCCCCCCTCTCTCTCCTTTGACAAACTCCATTTCTACTTATGCCAACCTTGACCCTTTCCCTAATAATCCACTCATCTTCTTATATGGCTTCTTCAATTGTCTTCCCCTTCTAACAAGTAGCTTCTGATTAATTTTCTCTCCCCTTTTCATTATACTCCTCAAAGTTAACACAGATTCAGATTCTATTATGTCAGCACTGTCATTGTCCAAACTAGTAGGAAACTCTAACTCAGCTTGGTAGTTCTTTTGTGCCTTCTTTAATAAAGACACATAAAAGACCAGATGAACCTTGGAAAAAAGAGGCAACTTCAAGCGGTAAGTAGACCTGTCAAAAAGGGTTAAGGCTCCAGGGCCAGCCCTACCCAACTTTAAAATAACCCATCTAGTCCTAAATATTATATTGATTAAAAATAATAATTTGACTCTAAGTTATTTAGCCTATAATGTATGGGTTAGGGTAGGGTTATCCATAGGTTAGTCCTGACCCATGAATTTTATCCAAAATCTCAAATTTTACCTGAATTTTAGCAACCATAACTCTATACTGGCTCTCCAAGCTTCGTGTTCATTCTGCTTCTCTTCCACTATTTTGTTTCGCTTCCACCGGCCGCTTCTATAAAAAGGTATGTCATGACTCAACAATTTATTCTACATTTATGCATTTGTGTTGTGGGGCACATGTGTCTCAGAAACGGTGGTGTTAGTGTTGGTTGTGAGTTTGGAAGTGAAGGGTTTGGTGGGGAAGTAACTGTAGAGGTTGATGGATTTGATGAGTCTTTGAAGCAGAGAAGGAGATCTATCAAGTTGGGAGTGTTCATGTTTATGGGTTTGAGTTTGAAATTGTGGGGCATTGTGAAAATGGAGGTTTTAAAGTTGATGTTTTCTCATATACGTGTTTTATTGAAGCATATTATTGTGAGAAAGATTTCCGCAAAGTGGACCAAGTTTTGGAGGAGATGAGGGGAAATGGGTGCACCCCTAATGCTGTGACTTATACCATTGTGATGCTTCCTTTGGGGAAGGCACGCCAATTGAGTGAAGATTTGGAGGTTTATGATAAAATGAAGGGTGATGGCTGTGTTCCTAACACTCCATTTTATAGCTCATTGATATTTATTCTTGGCAGTACTGGCTAGTTGAAGGATGCAAAGTGTTTGAGGATATGCCCAAGCAAGGGGTGGTGCGTAATGTGTTGACATACACTACTATGATTAATATTGCTTGTACATACTCACGAAAAGAGACTGCTCTTACGTTGCTTAAGGAAATGGAAGATGGATCATGCAAGCCTAATGTTGAGACGTATCATCCTTTGCTCAAGATGTGCTACAAGAAGAAGAGAATGGAGTTGATCAAATTTTTGTTGGATCACATGCTCAAAAATGATGTCACCCTTGATTTGGAAACTTATTCTTTCTTGGTACATGGTACGTGTAGAAGTGGAAAACTTGGGCATGCTTGCTCATTACATTTAGACTGACTTTCTTTTGTTATAAATGATTTTATGTAAATTTAAATTGTTTATAGAAATTATGTTACTGCACTGATGTTTAATTGCTTACAAAATATTTGGTTGTATCTTGCATGTTTAATTGTTAACAGAAATTCTCAAGATTGCTACTTAAGAGAGTGTAGCTATTGTTTTGATATGATTGATAGTTAGGAATGAAATTAAAATTAAGTTAGAAATTTGTAATTGCTGGAACTTTTTGGCCTTTGAAACTCTAACCCTAACCCTAGCCTTGTGAACTTTTTGGCCTATAGGACTTTTGATTTATTGGGCTTTTTAGCCCACAGGGCTTTTTGGCCCTAACCCATATGGACTAGGGTTAAGGCTGGGCCAATTAGGCTTTTGGACATCTCTAGCGGTAAGCTACTTCACCTATCCTTTCTAGTACTTCAAAAGGATCATAGTACCTTGCACCCAACTTTGGACTAATTTTGGCACCCACCGAATATTGCCTATGCTGCTTCAGCTTGAGGAACACCAAGTCGCCCACCTAAAAAATCTTCTCATTTCCATGCTTATCAGCTTATGTCTTCATCCTCTCTTGAGCCCTCTCTAAATGATTCTTCAATTGCTTCAATGCCTCATCACGATCTTGCAAATCCCTTTGCACGACTCGCACTTTTACTTCTCCTTGGACACTCTTCACAAGCATTGGAGGCTTGCGGCAATAAACAACCTCAAAAGGAGTGGTCGGAGTGGATTCATAGTAAGTAGTATTGAACCAATATTCAGCTCAAGAAAGCCACATTGCCTATTCCTTAGGTTGATCTGTGATGAAACACCTCAAATAGGTTTCTAAGCAGCTGTTAGTGACTTCGGTTTGACCATCCATTTGAGGATGGTAAGCCATACTCATCTTTAGGAAAGTCCCCTGCATCCTAAAGAACTCTTTCCAAAATACACTCTTGAACAAAGGATCCCGGTCACTAATAACAAAATTTGAGACGCCATGTAATCTTACCACTTCCTTCACAAACAATTTAGCTACTGCCCAAGCGGTGTAAGAGTGTTTTAATGGGATGAAATAGCTGTACTCGGACAACCTATCCACCACCACCAAGATCGCCTTAAAGCCCTTTGATCTTGGTAACCCTGGTGATGAAATCAATGGTAATGTCTTCCCATATTTTCTCTCGAATTGGAAGAGGTTGTAGTAAACCTCAAGGAGCAGTGATCATATACTTTGACGTTGACAAACGTCATAGGCTTGCACAAATTTCATAGTGTCTCTTTTCATTCCCTTCTAGAATAAATTAGTGGCCAATCGCCTATGAGTGCGGTAGAATCTAGAATGTCCTTTTTGAGGAGTTGTATGAAATTCTTCTATTAATTTAGCAATCCAATCAGACTTCTCAAAAACAACCAACCCACCCTTGTAGAATAGGATCCCTTGCTTGTAAGAAAATCCTGGATATTCTCCTTGTCCTTGCTTTAGATCTACGATAAGTTTCTACCACTTGTCATGCTCATGATGTAACGTCCTTATTTCAAATTCAGTACATATAAATAATTTTTCATTTCAATTCAATTTCAATATGAAATTTGGATACCATAAAATTTTCTCGAAAGTAATTACTACAATTTAATCAAATATTTCCATTTAAATCAATAGAATAGTGAAATAGCATAAAACTTCCGAAATTACCATAATCAAAAGTAAAAAAAAAAGGCTATACATAAACTTCACAATACAGTATATTAATTTACAAATTGTATGTTTGAGTATTTAAAGATCAAAATAATAATTACAACACCAAGCACTACAAAAAGGATCCCAGAGCAATCTCATTTATACTCATCTCCAGCATTCCAACTCTCTATCTCGGCTAGGTCCTTGGAGTCTAGGTGGTCATAAGATCCTAGATACCCATCACCAGAGTTAGCTCTGACCTCTGTCCCCGTGACGCGCTCAAAGGTCCAACGGGTAGGTCTTCCTAGAGAGTTGTGATCATGGTAGGTGTATAAGTAAGTAAGCGTTGTTGGGGTTCTAACTGTACCCCTATACATATATATACACATAAGATTTGGTGTATCCTACTCTTAGGAAAGTCGAATGGAATACTACAAGCAAAATCCATCTCTATCATGACATAAACCCTAGGGTCATTCTCTATCAATACAACAAATTTAAAATGATTTACACGTTGGTATTCATTAAATACGTAATTTAATCTCAAGTCTACAGAATTATCTACCAGCTTAACTCTTCCCTGCAAATTCGTCATCCTGGTTCCCTGAAATTATCAGTAAGGATGAGTACTTATCTTATCATTTAAAATATAATATTACTTTAAAGACTAACATAAGAGCACAATCATGGTCATAGAATACAAGGAATCATAATAACATAAATCTCAAAGCAATATATTAGACATACACATATTCATAATTATTATGTTGCTCTCTTTCGGATATGCACATTCAGTGCACTGTGATCACAATTATACGATGCCTCAAGCAGTTCTTGAGGTCTTACACAACTAGGTAAATAGTCACCAGTTAGTCCATGCATACGGATACAACGTATATAATAACGAGCCCCTTAGCAAAGGTATAGTCAAGAGTCTAGTCAGGAAACAAGTGTGAGGCCATATGACACATTCGCTCTCAGAAAGAATGTGTACACATGCGCGAATGTCGCTCACCACCTTACATTTTTCCCAGATTTCCTATCGTCTCCGGACTCTATACCCTAGTGTATCTCTGTAACTATTCACACTAGAAAGATTCAACTTCTTACACTTATCTCATACCCCCTTTCGTACTAAACTCATTATTCAGGTAAGAGATCGTGCTTAGTAAAGCACTTTCGAACTAAATTCTAAACAAACGAACAACTCTAACATATCATTAACACCCAAAATCAGCCAAACATATTTTTCATAATAATTCAATATCAATCAATCATAAGAATCATACTAAAACACATACATAAAGTACTCTCATGGTTACAAAATAATTATTATGCTTAAAATAACAAAATAAAGCCTTTCTTACCTTGAGACGAAGTTTTGAAAGAGATTTTGTGAGGGTTTTAGGTGAAAGGACCAAAATCTTCCTAGATATCACAAAAGAGAACATTTTGAAAAAGGAGAAACTTAGAAAACACCCAAAAAGAGAAAACAAAGCTCCAAGAACTTACTTGGAGTTGATTGATGAAGTTCCCAAGCTTGGATTTGAAAGAAAGTTGAGGTTTCAGAGAGATTTTCTGAGAAAAGAGGGTTAGGGGTTGAGAGAACAAGGAAAAGCTCGAAACTTGGATTATAATCCAAGTTTTCTAACTTGGAAACCCTTAAATACCCCTAGACTCGCGACATTCTCGCTACAGCGAGCCCTTCTCTCGATGTAGCGAAAAAATCAGACAAAATTGCACTTTGCTGTCTGTCATTCTAGTTACAGCGAGAGCTCCTCGCTACAGTGAGAGCATCCTCGCTACAGTGAGAGAATTCTAGCTACAGTGAGAGAACATCAGAATGCCTGATTTCTGGACACTCTTTCTCGCCACAACGAGATATCCTGCAACCTACATCATTTAAACTCTCTAAAATTCAAATAACTTCACAAATATAACCAACATTCAATGCTATAATAATAAATATAAAAGCGAGGATGTTACACATGAACTTCAATTATGATTGCTTGGCAATCTAACCAAACAAGCATGTAAACCATATAATTGAATTCCACCTTTCCCATGCTTCTTGATAATGCATTAGCCTCTTTGTTCTCTAGTCCCAACTTGTAAACAATCTCAAAGTTGTATCCCAACAACTTTGGCTACCCAATTTTGTTGGCTTCGAGTGATAATTCTTTGTTGTAAAAGTTACCTTAGACTTTTCTGATTAGAGTATATTGTGAACTTCCTCCCTAGTAAATATGGCTCTACCAATGTTGTATGGCTAAAGCCACCGCCATCAACTCTTTCTCAGGTAGATTTTGTTAAATTTCTACTTCCCAACGCCTTATTAAATAATGCCATGTGCTTATAGTTTTGCATCAATATAGCTCCAATACCCACTCCGGAAGCATCACACTCCAATTCAAATTCCTTTTCAAAGTTGGGAATGTTAAAACAGGGGTTGTAGTAATCCTCTTTAATTCCTCAAAAGCCATTTGAGCTTTGTCATTCCATCTGAACCCTTCTTCTTTGTTAACTCAGTCAAAGGCCTTGCAATTTTTTTCATAATCTTTAATGAATTTTCTATAATATCCCATGATTCCAAGGAAACCACGCACTCCTTTTATATTGGCTAGGATTGGCCACTCTATCACACTTTTCACCTTATTTGGGTCAACAACCACCCCCTGCTGAGAGATAACATGCCCCAAGTACTCAATACTTTCTTGCCTGAAATTGCATTTTTTTCTTATTGGCATAAAGCAACTGCTTCCTCAACACTTTCAGCACTACTTTCAATCGCTCCATGTATTCTTCCCATCCTTTACTATACACGAGTATGTCTAAAAAAAAACAGGCACTTCTTTCCTTAGAAATTCTCTAAAGACTTTATTCATAAGGGAATGAAATGTTGATGGTGCGTTCATAAGTCCAAAGGGCATAACCAAATATTTATAATGCCCCTCATGTGTCCTAAACACAATTTTTGGAATATCTTCCACCTTCATACGCACCTGATGGTAACCAGACCTTAAGTCAAGCTTAGAGAAATACTTAGCTCCATGTAATTCATCTAGGAGCTTTTCTATCATTGGAATGCGAAACTTGTCAGGGACTGTGGCCTTGTTAAGAGCCCTATAATCAAACATATTTTCCACTAGTTATTTTTCTTCTTGACCAAAATCATGGGACTTGAATACTCACTTTGCCTATGTCTCACATGTTTATTCGCCATTAACTTTTTCACCTGCTTCTCGATCTCATTTTTTTATGATAAGGATAATGATATGGTCTTACATTGATTGGTTCTTGTCCCAGTTTCAAGGTTATTACATGCTCTTTACTCATGCTGGGGGTAATCCTCGTGGTTCTTTGAAGACGTCGTCATAACTCTTTAGGATTCCTTTAAGTACCTATTGTTGCTCTTCACTAAGTCCACTTTCCTTCTGCTTTGATACCTCACTGAAAATGCCATAAGGACGCAAACAGTGGTTCCCCATGAGATATACCTTTCAGAACATGGAGACCTTTTTGGGTTTCAAACTTCATTATCTGCTTGTTCCAATCGATCTTCATCTCTCCTAAAGATATCAACCAAGACATCTCAAAAATTATGTCAATATCCTCCAAATTAAAAAGGACAACATCAATCACGAACTCCCCTACTTTAGTTTCAACCTTAGTCCTATGAACAATTTCGCAAGCTTCTGCCTTATGCTCATCTTCAATTAATATCTTCATTGTCTTAGTGACTTCTCGTTCCTATCCCAAAGTTTTCACCAATTTCCTTGAGAGGAAGTTGTGGGTAGCACCACTATCTACTAAAAGAAGAATAGGAATTCCACTCATTTTTCCACAAAGCTTTGGTGTACTGGGAGATCCCTTTCGCTCTTCCTCCATTCCTCGAATAGTGATGGCGCTGCACTCTCTAAGATGACATAGTCATCTTCTCAGCTATCGTCAATGACATCCTCATCTTCCTTGCATTCAACTTAAATTTCATCATTTGTAAGGATTAATCGCAACTGTTTAATGGGACACTAATGTAATGGTTCGTAAGGTCCTCCATATTTGAAGCATAGACCCTTTTGTCGCATGTCCAATAAATCCTAGTAAGCCAAGTGTTTGGTCCCTCTATCCCATGGCCTAACTTGCTTTTTATCACCATCATCTCCCTTTGTGTTTGGGCCTGGCCCATTTGTTCCCCACCAGATCCAAAGCTCATTAACCTTGCATGACTCGTATTGTTTGAGTGCGTTTTCTAACTCGTTCTTGACCTACTTCTCCCATGCGTGTGCTCACGCACCTGCCATCCTCTGTTTCTACTCGCGAGTTCAATCTCTATGGCCCTCACTGTATTCATCATCCGTCCTTGCCTCATGGGATTGGCCATGTGCAAGCTTCTGAGGCGGACTTGTATGTTATCCTATAACCCATTGGTATAATAAGTGAAGTACTGGCCATCGTGCAATCGGAGAACCTGAATAATCAAGCAGTTGAACCTTTGGATATAATCTTCAATGCTTCCTGTCTAACGTAACGCCGATTATTGCTCAAACATTGTCCCTTCCCCAATTCCTCTATATCTCTCCATTAATTCTCTTTTCAGATCCTCCCACCTTAAGTCTTCATAATCTTGCAACAATGAATTAAAGAAAGGAATCGTGCCATTTTGCATGCAAATATGAGTGAGATTCACCTTCACTGCTTCACTCGTTTCTTGGACGCGAAAGTAGATCTCCGCCCTGGTGATCCATCCAGTAGGATCTTCACCTGTAAAAATAAGGAGTTTAATTTTTTTTACTGATTGATGAAACTCCTCAAGGGCTTCTCCTTCTAACTCTTTCATTCCCAACCCCCAGCTCTTCGGTGTTTTGTTCACTTTCAGAATTTCATGGCCTTTGCCTCTGTTTGACCATTTTCCTTCATCGTTAGGATCAATGCCCTTACCAAGGCTACAAGTTATGAGCTCTATCAGTTTGGACTGATTATCTGTCGCTTCCTTTCGCAGTTTCTATTGCAGA